ATTGCATCCTTCCAAATTATTTCTTATTGTTGTTTTTCACATTAGTCACAAGCATATACTTAATGTATACTTACTTCGTTCATTATGAAGCAATCCCTTCATTCATTTACTTTTGAAATGTCTAAATATAATCAATAATATTGAGTCGATAAAAAATTTACAATTAGAAACTCTTCTCTATTGAAGGTAAATTTGGACGTCATGTGGAGATCTCGGGATTTCACGCGTTGGTTCTGTTTGGTTAGCAACCACGCTGTAACTATTGTATGGGTGAACTGTGTTGTTGGGATACACACGACAGATAAACTGAAGGGATAGAAACACACAATGGAGGGCCTGCCGTTTCTTCCAGGGAATTCCTTCAGAGACCCAACTGTAAGTAACTTTACAAACGAGTGAATTTGTTTGTAAAATCATATATAATAATTTTAATGCAAAGATATATAGCCAGGTTAAAAATCATTGTTCTGCAGCACATATATTAGTTATATACATCAGACATAGTCTAGTGAGCAGACTTTTAGGAAATGAAGTACATATATAATATTTTCTTCTGTATTCCAGTCTTAGCACAATATAATCATCGAATTCGATATCAAATTTACTGTATTTTTTTATTGGAGTCTATAAGAGACGTACATATACTAATTGCAATTTTATTTCATATGAATTCTTAACAATTATTAATCTATTAAAAATATTTTTTTTAAATACTTTGTTATACCTACAGCAAAATAAGTTTCATAGGAGCCATTCCTTGAACTATAAAAATGGCTATTCCATCCCCACACTGCCAACCTCAGGTATTGGTGGTCAACCCATCATGTACAACCAACTGAATGATCAAGAACTTGATGAATTAGCCAACTTCAATCCAACTCTTACCTATGGACAGGCCAAACAAGCTCCACCTGAGGATTTTGTGCCAGCACACAAAGCATGGGACAAAAAGGTAATGGATCTAATATCAATGATATTAAGATTTTTTTCTGAAACTGGTTGATTATTATTTGAATTAATTTTTGCATGTACACAATACATAATAAACTTTTTTTTGTTGTATTTTCACCACAGGTTCTGAGGTTTAATGCTTACTTTAAGCAAACTGTACATGAATCACCAGCAGAATATTACAGAGTGAGACCAGTTGATATTTATTATTATCTGGAAGATGACAGCATCTCCGTTGTGGAGCCTCATGTTGAAAACAGTGGGATGCCACAAGGTAGATTGTTTAATTAATTCTTGCTTAGCTTCATAAAAATGAGGAGTTATACGAATGCTAAAGCTGTTCTCAAAATTTATGCTGTATTTTTTTGGCAATATTAAAATCGGAACTTAATGATTATATGATGCTCTTATTCAGGAAAACTCATCAAGAGACAGAGACTTCCAAAGAATGACCAGGGAGACAACTGGCACTGGAAAGATCTTAACAACGGCACCAATGCCACCTTCTATGGAAAGGTTTTCCACATTGTAAATTGTGACAAATTCACACAGGTATACACACCTTTTTTTAAATTCCTAATGTGTTTTAACAAACAAATTTTGTGTTATTTCATGGTCATTTAATTAATGTTACCTCTATGTAGGCATAATGATAAATGTAACAATATTATACAATTATGGACTCTTTCGGTGGTGAATATGGTTTGTTATTCACCAGAAAAATATCAATATTGACCGAGGCGAACTTTCATTTACGAACTTCTGTCGTAGAAAAAAAAATGTCCAGATCACAAGTTATAACTTCCGTGTTTTCCTTTAACTGTTTATAAGAGATCAAAATGTTTAGAAAATAGCAATAGGCTTGGCTAATGTTTTTTCCTGCTCAGATACACAGCTGGCTCCGGCCGTTGCAACCATTGTTTACAACGTTGTTTGAGGTGTTGATTGTGACGTCACAATGCCGCTGCACGCGCACCGACCCTCCGGTGAATACGGCTTCAAAACCAGTGAATATGTAGTATTATGAACCGTTTGCGTTTGTATAGATTATATAGGGACTTGTTTTACAATATATTCATGTATATGCATAAAACCTATCTATAAATATTTACTGTTAAACTTTAATTCCCAGGATTTCCTTGAGAGTGAAGGATTGGTTGTGAACCCCTCCGAGGATATGCCATCAGACCCCTACATTGAGAAAAGAAAGGATGCAGCTGCTCTTCGAACCTACCAAACTCCATCTGCTTTTGATAAGACGAAGCAGTTCTTGGAAATGGACCGAAAAGTGCTACGATTCTATTGTGTTTGGGATGATAGAGATAACATGTTTGGAGAAATGCGTCCATATGTCATTCATGTAAGTTTCACATAATCAAATTTTTTTTCATTTAGATTGTACCACAATACAGCAACATGATACAAATATTGACTGGGGTTGAGGGCAACATTGATTATATTACCCCCCAAGGGATGAAATTGCCCAACACATTTATGCTGAATGTCAGCACGGTTTTTGGTGATAACACAAGGGATGAGAATTTCTGTTTTTCTGATCCTTATACATGTTATGTTTTCAGTATTATCTGGTGGATGACACTCTGGAAGTCCGAGAAGTCCATACAGCCAATGACGGAAGAGATCCATTCCCAGTCCTCATCGGGAGACACAAGGTTCCCAAAAATAGATATGAAGTAGAATCCTCCTTCCCCGCAGTAGTGATGGAGTTATCAGATAATGAAATCAAAGAATATTACACACCTAAAGACTTCAAAATAGGAGCAACTGTTCCTATCTATGGGCGAAAATTCCTCATTTATGATTGTGATAACTTTACAAAAGCCTTCTACTACCATCACTTTGGACAGACAGAATTCAATTCCCTAGATGTCAAAGAGAAATTAAAGGATTTGCCCAAAATGGTAAGTTTATATATCAAAATTCTCTATCTAAAGAAAAAAAATATGCAAGCACAATGGTATTTAAAATAGTTTATAAAATTTGTTGTATGGTTTTAACCTCACTCCATACATAGTTTTTAGAAGGGACAATTCTTTAATTTGAAAATTTTCTAAAACACATGATGGCATAAATAGTTTTATTTTTGAGAGTTTCTTACATCATTGTCAATCTTCATATATAATTTAAAGTTTTAAATGGATAATCTTAAAGTTTTAAATGGATAATCTTTTAATTCTGTGCAGGAAATTCCTCCCTACAATCACTTTGGCTCCCTGGAAGACTCCCTACAGTCCTGTTTGTCACTGATACCACAGCCTCCCAAGAAAGACTTCATCAAGATGTTAGAGAATGACCACAAAGTTCTTAGATTTGAAGCAGTCATGGTATGTTCTACTGTTTTGACCTTTCTCATCATGCTCTTTACTGAAATAAGATTGCATGACTCCCTCTTTCATGTTTTTACATGTGGACATTTCCAACCGCAACAAAATGACAGTGAATGACTAACAATACATGAATGTTTTTAGGATTCTGTCCGACCGGAGGATAATGGAAGAAGGTTCATCATTTCCTACAGATTGGCTGATGACATGATGACAATTTATGAGCCTCCCGTCAGGAACTCAGGAATTATTGGAGGAAAATTCCTGGAGAGAACCAGAGTGGCTAAGCCCAACTCAGCCCCCGATCAGCCCACTTTCTATGGTCCTCAGGACTTCTACATTGGTGCTGTAATTGATGTTTTCAAACATCGCTTTGTTATCACAGGCGCTGATGAATATGTGCTGAAATACATGGAGGACCACAAATCTCAGTTCCCAGGTAACAATGCATAACTATTTAATATATTGAAAATGAAAAAAAAACCCACACACTTCTTAGATACTATTTCCATGCTAAAACAATTATTGCTATCATTTTGTTTAAAATTGAAAATTTTAATTTTACATTCTGTAATTTTTATGAAATATATGGGTTTTTTTTTTTTTGGCAGAAAGCACCATCCAAACCCTAAGGGATTACTTGGGTCAGTCCAGAGCTCAAAAAGAAATGATCAAAGGAGGCCCCATGAAAGTTAGGAGAAGGTATGTTTAATAATGCATTATTGTATATGCATACTGATAAAGTTACCTCCATTAACAAGTATTTGAAATGTTGAGATTTAAAATATGACCTGATTTTGTGTTTTACAGCGCAGGAGATTTGGATATCTTAGTGAAACAAGTTCGAGCTCAATTAAAGAAAATTGCCATCACAGACAAAACGCGTGTTGATGAAATGTTCCTCAGATACAACAAGGATCGTAGCGGGTACATTGATGCAGACAACATGAGAAACCTATGTCGTAGTTTACAATTACCAGTAGATGATGATGTCATAGGAGCTGTAAGTAATCAATTTTTGCCTTAAGAATAATTTTTTTTTAATTTGTAACTGTAATTGCGTATCCACTAACTGAGATTTTTATTCTCTTTCTTAGCTTATCGCACAGTGCACATCTGATCCTGAAGGAAAAATCAGCTTAGAAGACTTCAGACGATTTGTAGAAAGTTCATGAAGAGATATCTGTTTATTAACCCTATTACTGTGATATGTGACTAGGGAATCTTTCTTTCGTTGCAATACAGATATGGATTCTGTCCCAAAACCAATCTGCAGTTTATATGTACATACTGTTAGGATATTTTTACAAATCAGGATTTAAAATGTACACTTGTCTTGCTACACCAAGGAAGAACCAGAAAGTTGAGACATTTACTGTTTTTAACCTTTTTGTTACCAAAAGTGACAGTCACCAGAAGGGGAGACAAAACCTATTTCTCTCATCATATAAAATAATTGTAAAATATTGATGTGAATATTAAATTATTAAAAATTGAAAAATTACAGGATTTGTATTGTTTTTTTTTGGGGGGGGGGGGGCTGGAAAAATACATACAAAATATTCAAACTTATGTCAGTGTGAATAAGTTTTGATTTTTATTAATAATAAATTCTCCATCCCTTTGAAATGCTAAACTTATGAAGTTCACTACGAAATTTATCCTTATATATACGCTTCTTAGCGGGAAATAGGAGTTTGGGATTTATGTTTTCTTAGAGTCCATGGTTACAAGAAGATTCAAACAGTTTGTGGAGGGGTCTTGGAAGGCGTCAGCAATAATCCTTACTGCCTCACGGTGGTCCACACCACAGAGGGTCTGATCATTCACCTCTAAAATCGTGTGTCCACATTTCAGACCTCCCGACTCAAACGCTGATCCTCCGTGCTAAAAGCAAAGAGTATGTTTTAGATTTTGCATATAGAAAAAAAAATCCAGAATTTGCAGTTACTTTTAATGCCCCTCCCACGTCTCACATGGCTTTACAAAATTCAGAAATGTTTTGGAAATGCAATTCTGACATAATTCATCTTCAAAAAGTCAAGAAATTGCGTTTATTTGAAAGACGCAATCACAACCTCTTAACCTTCAGAAAATAATATGACATAAGCTATTGGGTTTATTGTAAAATACATGCATTTCACTTAATTAGTTAAAACATTGTCTGAATAGGTCTTTATGTTCATTATATAATTTCCAAATAAACTTGGTACCTGAATACTTATGACTTTTGGAATTGGTTGCCTAGTGTTAAGTCCTCCTTCTATAGCAACACCAAGTGTAGGCTTTGTCTTGTAAATAATGACAATATTCATAGAAATGTCTCCATATTTCTTTTTTGCACTGGCCAACAGTGTTTCCTCCTAAAAATGAACAATTCTGATAACAATGCTCGTTACAAAATGAATTTTGCAGTATATTTTACCTCAGTGAAGACACAGGTGCTTGGGGACGGACCCCCTCCCCCGCGTTCCGTACCCCAAGGGTTCTTCGACTTTTTTAAAATATAAAATTGTTTTCTTTGACACATTCACGAAGTTTACAACTGAAAAATCCAGAATTTAACTTAAAACTAACCGTCTTTTATAAAAATTCACACTCTCTGATTTAAAAGAGAACAAGTTCGTGAATGTGTCAAAGAAAACTATTTTATATTTTAAAAAGTCGAAGAACCCTTGGGGGGGGGGGGGGGGGGGGTCCCGTCTCCAAGCACCTGTGGGTGAAGAGTTTTTTTTACGTTTCAAGTTTTTAAAGTTTTAAGGTTGATAAGCACTGAATATGACGTCATCTCATCAAGCCCTAAGCTAGAAATTTGTTTATCCCTTTTATTTATGCTCAATTTGTTGTCTTCTTAAAAATGTCAGAATCACCATTTTAATTTACTGTATACGATTTCGCTCTCTTATTTTAAGCTGTGCTAAAAATGACATGTATTTCTTTTGTATAGGCCTCTTATGTTAGTATTTCAAAAAATAAATTCATTACCGGTCTAAAATTAAAGATTGTGATGAAATAAATTCTAATTTTAAAAGAGGGAGTTTCAGAAAATTGTTTTTTTTTCTGTAAAAAAAAAAAAAGAAAGAAAAAAAAAAGAAAAAAGAAAAAAAAAAAAAGAAAATCGGCCCAAGAACTTGAAAACGTCATTTATTGACTCCCATTGGCCCCGAGGGTGAAAATGAAAATTCTGTAACCTTATTGCAAATCTGCTGGACACCTCTAATCATCTTGCAAAAGATGAGATGTCTACACTGTGTTTAAATTGATGCGGAGTTCTAGGAAGGTCATTTTTTGACTCCCAATTAACCCCCAGGATGAAAATGAAAATTCCGTAACCTTATTGACACCATCTGCAGGATACCCCCAATCATCTTGCAAAAATTGAGATGTCTTTTGTGTAAAATGTAAGAGGAGTTCTGGAAATCAGGTCTTTGAAGGAAAAAAAAGTCGTTTTTCGACCCCCGTTTACTATATTGCACATCTACAGAACACCACGTACACCTATCATCTTCAAAACGATGATTTGTTAACTGCGTAAATTGCAAGAGGAGTTCTGAGAACTCTGAAGACTGAGATCAAAAGTGAGCTCGTCTAAGCGTTATGGCCCCGGAGCCTGGGTTTTGAGGAAAAAACGTCATTTTTCGACCCTCATTTGGTCGTAAGGATGAAAATGAAAACTCTGAAACTTTATTGCATATCTAAATGACACCACCTATCATATTCCAAAAGATAACGTACAGCTGAAAGTAAAGGTGAGTTTGAGGAAGAAGAAAGAGTGACAGAAGGACGGACAGACCAGAATAAAAACAATATACCCGAACTTTCTTTGGAGGGTGCGGGTATAAATAGGCAAATTTTGATTGTTGCCTATCGCAAATTTGAGTAAAAATTTGAGGGCATAAAAGAAAAACTGTAGATGTACTATTCTGTATTGAGAAGTTGACAGCTCGTTATCTCTGATCCTCTTGGTAATTAAAACCAGCCAACTTCTCAATAAAGAATGTAAATGTACATGTACTAGTATATAGTGGGGGGTTTATCATGTAAAAAAAACCCTTTATTAATTATTTTGTTTTCTTAAACTGAGTTTGATTTTTATCAAATATTTTCCATAGGTCGAGTCTTTATTGTTTTGGAACGCTTAATTAGTTCTTAGACCACAAAACTTCTCGATTTCTGGAAAATTTTTTATATAAACTGGAACTCAGTTTAAGAAAATAAATGGACTAAAGGAATCATATTTTGATATGATAACCTACTAGCCATCTTGCGGATTTTATTTAAGAAATAAAATATTTCATGAAGGAAAGGAGGAAGAAGAGAAAGAACAAGGTAATTGCGAGTTTTTTTTTTTTTTGGTTTTGTTTGTTTGTTTTTTTTTTTTTACAATAATTACTACATGTGTATATACTAAGCAAATGTGAAATTAATTTCGGACCATCCGACCAATACAAATACCTCTGCAAAACAAATTTTTAACCAGTGTAACACATATTTATGGATAACACATATAATTATATACCCTCTTTTATTTTTTTTTAAATTGATAACTTTAATCTTGTTTGTAAGCCTTCGACTGGATCTTATAATATTTATTTTTTTTTCTTTGTCACTGTATGTATTGAAATACCACGACTTATTTGGAAAGGGGAAAAATCTAGCGCTTACATCGGCGGATTTATTGGGGGTTGGGGTTGGTGGTACAGATGAAACCCTAACTTTGTTCAATTTTTTAATCTGTCTCATATGTATAATCCTTTTCTAACTCATGAAAATCCTGGACCTGTCCTTAAAAATAATAATAAAATATTGTACCTACATGCGCGAATCTAGAAAGCGTGGAGGGGGAGGGGTGTTCCGAATCCTGACGGGATTCAATATTATTAAGTTTCTATGTAAAAATAACGAAAAAATAACCCCTTACCCCCTTCCCCCAAGGAAACACGGATCCCTCTTAAAATGGAAAGATCGATGCATTTGAAAAAGATTGACCAAGAAAAGTGTCTACATTACCACTACCACCCCGTCCCCAACGAAATAGGTTTTCAGGTTTGGGCAGTTGTTTTGTTTTGCTTTGTTGTTCTCTTCTTTTCTTTCTTTCTTTTTTTTTGATAGAGTTTATGTGGAACACCCCAACTCCACTCCCGGAAAAAAATTCCTATATACGCGCCTGACCTTCCTGTTAAACTCATAATTTATATTATATAAATTTTGTAGTTTATACTATCGAACTCTTGTTGAAAGGTTTTATTTTTCTAATACACATATGGTGCTAGAATTTCCATCGGTCCTTTTTAAAAAGTTGTGAACACCATTTATTTTGCTGTTTAACTTTTATTTCATGGTAACTCTAACAGACATATACTCAGTAATTTGACAGGGATGCAACAAGGACATTTTCGTGAGGTGACTACGGGGTATATCCTTCTCCATCCTCCTACATGTACCCCCTGCTCCCCATTCACTCTCCCTATTTTCATACACTCAAAGTCATCCTGTACGTTGACGTTACAAATGCCTAAAATGCCGTTTAAATGCAAAATAATTTGAATTCTTCACAAATCAAATACCATCAATTTGTATAATGAAGTGAATTTTTTTACGTTCCATCTCTCTTCAACAACAAAAAAATTAAAACTATTATTTAACCCACCTTTTCTTTTGCTTCAATGATAGCTAAATCCACGAAGGAAAGGTAAGAAGGGCGAGGGATCTTTATAGGCGTGATATCTAAACATCCATCCATTGTTACATGTAAAAATATTGATCAAAATTTGCTAAGTAGTAGGCTTATATATATGAGAAAATCGTTACCGTAGTAACAATTTTCAGATACACAAGAATATAATCAATAACCTCTTTTCATACAGTGCCACAAAAGTTGTAATTTTTGACATACATATATGTACAATGTATTTATGCTTTACAAGTTCATACTTAAAACATGACGTATGATCATAAAACCAATGAACCATTTTTAGGTTTGCAATAAAAAAATCTAAATGCTGCTAATGATTTATACAATATCTATCAAAACAATTAAATTGTAAAGACGTAATCTTTTTACAAGTATATACCTGGAATGATACTCGTTAATATTTAAAACCTTAGAAACACCCGTCAGATAATTTGTGAATAGTAATCTATTTTTCGATATCATGTTTGCACTGGTTATTTTTCACCCCCCCCCCCCCCTTATTTATTTGCTTTTACTTGTGTTTTTGTACTTTTTTGACAGATAGGAAACAAAACATCACAACATATTTTCAACATAGAATTAAGATAATTTATTTTCAATCCAAAAACTAAAATTTACAGAGAGAACACTTTGGTAGCAGAAAAAGTCCATGTTGCTTATCGCCGGAAGCGGGGAGGTTCGCGGAAACGTGGAGAGTCGCTTCCGCCTTTTTTGTCTTTTCCAGCACGAACACATAGACAGAATGTAAAACCAAGTCCAAGTAACTTGCAAAATAAAATAAAAATGATCAATTTTATAAATGAAATAAAAAAGTAAAAAAAGCTAAATTTTGAACTTCTTGTAACCTTCATGAAGTAAAGAAGCGACACCCTGAAATTCGGCGATAGTATAGTTGTATGTGTGTGTGTGTGAGTGCGTTTTGGGTTCTTGTTGTTTGTTGTTTTTTTTTTTTTTTTTTTTTTTTTTACACACCTGGAAGAGAGCCACACTAATGCCAACACCTCCCAACAAATCGACGTTTGCTTGGATCCAAGTTAGCATCTTCGTATAACATCCCTACAACAATCATTTATTGTTTCTGAAAAAACTTTCCAATGCTAAATAACGAAGACAGTTCTGATTTCTCACCAGAGTTTGTTTAAAATTAATTTATCGAATATGTCCAAAACATCAGGATGCGAGTCCTATTAACTGAAGTCATTAAACTGTCGTCTGCGTGATCGGAATTGGTGAAATCTATATTTCCATATACACAGTGACGATATTTGTACTAATTAAAATCACTCATACCTGTGAGTAGATGGTGCTGTTGTTAATGACCGAATTGCAACCATTCACGTTCCTGTCCACACAACAGGACACGGGTACAGCAGCACTAGAGTTGAAGTAAGTGGCGTTATTCCAGTCACTCGGTGAATGGAAACCGCAGCACTGAAACTGTAGATGATTTCAATGAAAGTAAAGACGATTTCAGCGATAATACTATAGTCTTCTAAATTTATACAAAGAAACATTTAAACAACATTTGTAAGAACCCTGCTTTTGAAAATATGAATTAAAATACCCCAAATACTCAAACTTTTGCAAGGCCCATACCTCCATTTGCAATTCATCCCCTGCTAAAGTGATCAGGTTGTATTCGCTGCGTCCATATTTACTACTCAGTGCATCTTTGACTTTACTTGTCAAAAATGGCTCGAGCTACAAAACACATAATTTAATAATTAAGTTACAACCGTATGTAAAGTTATCATACAACAGAATGAACAAAGATGTGGTTCCTTTTTCAGTGTCATTCTGACACGAAAAAAATGAATCGGATACCTGTCCATAGAAGAGAAACCCTATCACGCCTGCTGCAGCCTCTACTATGAAAGTTACCAATAGGACCGTAAAATACTAAAAAAAATTACAGTAGTATTATATATCAGGCACATAATATTCACAGAACAACAATATAGAGATGACTTTTTTCTCTGGGATAATATGCTCATTTAAAAGACTCAATAAATGAAATATTCTTTACAATGTAGGATCAATTGTGTTTCAATATTCGTTATTATAATGCAAACGTTGATCTTACTATAACCAGAAGGCATTTGTTCTCGGCGAGCGCGCCAAAACACCCCGCCATAGACACCAAGATGACGACTCCCCCAGCTGCTAGTAACAGGTAAGCTCCATTCTCCATTAAATTCTCTCCAATCAGGGCTCCAACCTTCTCACCATTGGCGATAGTGTAAGCACCCATTGCAGCGACTCCCATGCCACACAACTGTAAGGGAAGACAAAAATCAGATCCTCAAACAAACAAAAAAAATCTAGAGGTGGGACCCAAATCATATCAGCTTTTCGGTAAAAAAGATTGGGGGGGGGGGTTACTTACACTCTTCAGTCAGATTTTTATTTATATATACATAAACATAAGGGTTCTGGCATCCGGATATTATGGAAACCCCCCCCCCCCCCCTGAAAATTACGTGGACAAAGTCTAGTAGCATTACTTTAAACAGATGAATAATTAATTTATGTAGTTTCAAAGCTATTTTTTCCCTAGATTTTTATTAAAAAGGGAGGAGGGTAGGTTGTGATTGTGCCTAATGCAACTAACGCATCCATCCTTCTGACGACCTTGGAAATACAACATCTAATCTAAAATTGATTTCTGACAACTCCTAGGAAAAGTGGACCTCCTATGCCCCTCCCCCCTCCTTTCTGGTAAAAAAAATTATAACTTTTTTTTTTTCATTTTTACGTTTAACGCACCCATCCTTCTGACATGCATTTTGTCGGACCAAAAAACCAAACTGTTTGCCTGAGGCCGTAAGTCAAACAGTTTGGTTCGAGGGGTCAGCAAATTGCATTTTACCCCAGAACACAGTCAATAAATGTTTTGTTATATCTTTTATCTATTTCTTTATTTATTTTTTGACATACAAGAATTTTGTGCTGGCTTCCAAGCAAGATGTAAATTTCCTTTATCCGCACTGCGATAAAATTGAGCTAATTATGTCACTGTCGAATACCAACGAATGCAAATGCATGTAAGATTTAGTCAATAAATGTTTTGTTATATCTTTTATTTATTTATTTATTTATTAACATACAAGTATTTTGTGCTGGGTTTCATGATGTAAATTTCCTTTATCCGCACTGCGATAAAATTATTTTGTGCTGGCTTCCATGATGTAAATTTCCTTTATCCGCACTGCGATAAAATTGAGTCAAACCTGTCACATCGTCTCAAGCCATGGCCCGGAGTCCGCACATAGCTCTCTCCTACCAGAATTGGAGAGGATCGTACATTTTGGCCGTGATTTGCGACGATGATCCTGTCACTGTCAAATACCAACGAATGCAAATACATGCAAGATTTAGCTGATCCCGCCCACGGTGTGACGTAAGCAGTCCAATACCTCTTCGACAGGTCCAATATCTCACTCTGCGGTATTTTCGATGTTTGGCTTATTGAGCTACTGATTGATAAAAATTCAGGTGCCTGTGAATAGATCTTATCATCTAGTCTATAATTACATGTATATATAGGACATTTTCTCTTATTTGCTGAAAAATATAAACTATCAAAATTGCCAGCCATATACAGTTGAGTAGAGTTTTCTCTGATTGAGCATTATTGGGTGATATTGATTAAATTTTTTGGAAAAAAATAGTACTTACCAGAAAAAGAAAATTGAAAATAACCACCACATATTTCACAAGTGACATGGAAGCCATGTTTGAAATGTAGTGCCTTCAAACCTGCAAGTATTCAAACCTGAATTCATTTTGGAGCTACTTCAATGAAGTCAGGACATCGTTCACATGTAGGAATATTCAAGACTAAAGTTACTGTTTTAAATTGCGATACTCAATCACAGGTACTTGGGTCTTGGTTTATAAATAGATAGTTTTCAGTAGGCCCAAGTTAGCAAGTTATTTCCCGTTGGCCGCCACATATAGACCCTTTTCCTATGACATATTTTGCCTAGGAGTTATTTCCCTTAGCCGCCATATTGTAGGGCAACATTCCCAGATCCCTTCATTATTCAACCAAGTTCAATTTCTTATACTGGTTACTGAGGTAAAGATAACACTATTTTTCTTATGAATGCTCATTTGTTATATCCTCTATTAATTCATGATAATAAGCTTGTAAATATTTTCCCCCATATTTTTCTTGAATGCATGTTTAAAATTGGTTGCTCAAAGAGGTAAATTCACTGCTTTGTCATACAAGATGGCGGCTAAGGGGAATAACTCCTAAGCAAAATGTGTCATAGGAAAAGGGTCTATTGGAGGTCAACATACTCATATTCCTTCATTATTCAACCAACTTTAACTTTTTATACTGGCCATTGTGAGGTAGGAAGCATTGTTTTTCAGAAAAATATATATTTGTTAAAGCCTCCTTAATTTCATAATTTTTATTCTATAAAGATTTTTCCCCAAATATTTCTGCCACAACCCTCTTAGATTTGGTAAGACAAAGAGGAAAAATTACCAGGTTGACCACCAAGATGGCGACCAAGGGAAATAACTCGGAGAGAAAATATGTCATATGAAAACTATCTATATGTATGTACCTTATTGATATGTAAAAAAAAGTACATATCAATAAGGTACATACATATTTATAAACCAAGACCCAAGTACCTCTGTACTCAATATTTATAACTGTCAGAAAACATTTTCACTTTACAATGCAATGCAAAGTAGGAAGACTTCTCCTAGATTTCATTGACCCTGGACAATAATTCAACAAAAACCTAGTTTGTTAAGTTACCAATGAATGGAAAACTGCAACCTTGATGCTGTGACTTTTCAAAACAAATTTTGGCAACGTTCAACTTCAAAAAAATCAGGGTTGCTAACACGCTTTAATTTTTTACATTCGGCAAACCTCGGCTGATTCCGTCACCTTCATCAAACTAGATGAGGTACGAATCGGCCGAGGTGTGCCGAGTGGAATTTTTTAATGATATTCGAACGCAATCGCATATTTTCGGGCCTTTCCGTCAGGCTCGGAATTCCGCTTGTCCGAAAGACCCGAAAGCTCATTATAGAGACAGGGAACCACGCTAGGTCAAATAGCGGTCGGTGTGGATGTGAGCCAAGTCATAGCCTTGGAAACAGGCTAGCCAAGTCAATATTACAATGATCGCAACTTCTCGGGCCTTTCAAACAAGCGGAAAAACATTCGGCAAACCTCAGCTGATTCCGTCTCCTTCATCAATCATCGAAAGGCCGAGGTGTGCCGAGTGAACACTCGGAATAGCCTGGTTCCTTGTCCCTGTTTTGCTTCGTGTACTCCGCAAGGATGAGCCAGGGGACCAGGCTACACTCGGAAAGACCCAAGTGGAGAGTTGCATGTATATGTAGGCCACTGCCTGGTTATACTTGGGTTTTGATTTATAAATATGTATACCTACTGAATATGTAAAAAGTACTATTTTTGTGAAGATGTGAACTTTAAGATGTAAGAAAATTTATTCAGCATTTGACTTGTTAAATATTTTGCCAGACCTATATACGAAATTAGTATCCTGCACGATACTAGGATATTATATATAGGATTCAACACTACTCTTTTCCGACGCGTACGGGCACTGGAAGTTAATGTCAATATATTGAGTATGTGCATGTATAAAGAAGGATGTAGTGCACAGGTACTTGGGTCTTGGTTTATAAATATGTATAGGCCTACCTATTGAATATTTAAAATCAATAGGTATGCAACCAAGACCCAAGTACCTGTGATATGGTATTGGTCTAACGTTAAGTCTCTAAATTTTAAAATTTCGCGCAATGCGAAACTGAGGACGAAAATATATGTCAGGGTCAAGGATATTCTTGATAAATTGGGACGGAGACGTCCAACTCTGAGCAGCCGTGAGTATCACACAACACGCACGTGCACCTTCAAGTTGCAAAGACAAAAAAATCAAGACAAGCTCATCTGCAAAAGCAAAGAAGGCGGTGCACTTGAAAAAAAAAATTGACTTATTGAGATAGACACGTGCAGCACATCGTCAACCACTGTCAACGGTAACGCAATATTTGACCGAATTTACTCGGATATAGGTCTAAAATTTAAGCATCAAGCTTAAGACGTGTATGCTTTTAAAGAAGCAATGTCAATTACGAGTGACAATCAAGTAATATTGAAATTGGGCAATAAAGGACGCGTGCCAGCTTTAGGATTTGGAACATATGCCCCCAGGGAGGTAAGGCATGTCATGGTGTGCACAAATTAAATTGATTAATGTAAACAAATGTATGACCCCATTCAAGTGCTGCTATTTTTGACTTGGAATAAAGAAGAGTGGGGGAATTTTGTAGTAACAATCAGCTACTTTTCACTGCAATTGTTTAATATTTTAAACATTAAATTAGAGATATTAAATAAAGCTTTCAACAGTGTTATGTCTGTTAGTGTGTACAAAGTTTACATTATCTGAATTAAAATGACCTACACTAAATTACAACCCACACCCATGTAAATCAGACAAAAAATTGATTAAGGTCAGGTGTCCTCAGATGATAGTCTAGACTAGGCTGTTATCAGGTTATACATATGTACATATACTTATCATGCTTATCTCATGCTTGTTCTACATGAATAGACTGTACATGTAGATAAAAATAAGTGTGTAAATGCAATTGACTGGCTGTCAATACACCTTTTTGGTAACTGATGTTACTTCCCAAATAGAAGCCCCCTCCCCCCTTTGCTAAATATTATGAGATAAATATTTGCTTTAGGTAAGAATTTTTGACTCGTACCATGCATACTGGGATGCCATTACATATACTTGCTGGTGGAAGACTGCATTAAGACTGTACTTATGGCCTTTGAGCAGTGACAACATTTACTCTGACATGAGATCCTGGTTTATCAGGGTTATATGGTCTCAACTGAAGGACTAGTCTCTAGCAGGGCTAGAAATAATTACTTTTGTTTACTGGTCACTCGGGCTAGTGCCTTAAATTTTTACTGGTCAGCTAAGTACTTTCACTGTCCCACTGGGCCAGTAGATTAAAAAAAGACTGGCCCAAAGCCATAATAATAATAATAGTAATATTATTTTTATATTGTGATACTTAGAAGTACAACTTAACAAAACAAGAAACAGTAGAAGTTGGGACACACAACCCTGTCAAGTTAACTAGCCCGACTGTGAATGAATTTTTATTATGCATAAAAAAAATGCTGAACTAAAGGGCACATGCCCTCTGCAATGTACTAGCCCAGATTGAAAATTCACTGGCCCCAGACCAGTGGGCCATCAATTATTTTGAGCCCTTTCTAGGTTCCTTAGTGGGATTCAAACCCATGATATAAGGATCAACTTATTACTCCTTGAATCTAGAAGGAAATGTGACCTGGAGAAATTGGAATAAATTATATTTTTTAAAAGGATTCTGAGGAAAATAAGTTTGCGTCTAAATGAAGTGCTTGAACAAGTGATCCTTATATTGTGTAATGTCTTATGACTTGCTATATTTCTCAAAAGATGTAGGACAATATAATATTGATTTTTCAAAAGTAGATCAAAGGTCAGTTTCAATACAACATAGACACATCAGTCCCTTGTACTTTTGAAAGAGTTCCCAAACTGTATAATACATGTTTTAGGAATTAGACACTATATCTCCTTTTAAAGAGGTCAAAGGTCAACTTCAAGGTCAAATGATAAGTTAACTAGTAATTCAAATTGAGACTTGAGGTCATGATCTAGGAAATGAAAGGTGCCTACAGATTTCTAAAATTTGAGAAATAAGTTCCTTTAATGATGCTTCATCGCTAAAGCTTTTTAACATAATGTTTATCGGGCATGATTTTTAGGCAAATAAGGCCAAAAAATCCCAATGTTTTAAACTGTCATTTTCAATGAAAAACAAAGAAAACCATTCATGAATATGGGAGTTTTTTCCATATCAGACAGATGAAATGTTTCCATATTGTCAACAGTCCCCCAGAAAATGGTAATGTGTATGTTCTTGGCCTCTACATTAAAACATTAAATTGGATATAGGGATTGGGACTACTTTTCATATAATTTCAAATTGAATTCCTTGAAAATTCTTCATTAGCTCTACTAGTCAGAGACCAGAAGAGCTTAGGCCAAAAAAAATAATAGTCTTGTTTCCTGCTACCCGACCTACCCTATTTTTTTGCACCCGACCCTAAATTTTTTTTTTAGTTTTGGAGAAAAAAAATCGGAAATTTCAGGAATTTCATGTTCCAAAACTGAAAAAATATATATTAAAGTGGTATTTCATGAAATTCTTTGTTTTAAAAATGGACTTTGAAATTCATAAAATACCACTCGAGTTGTGCATCAAAAGACATGAAATTTAATTTTAAAAGATAATACTGACCTATGTTATGTTTAATTTGGTTTTATATTAGTTCATATCCTAAAAATAGTGTTGGAAAAAAATAAAATAAAAAATAAATAATTTTCCTACCTACCTACCCTATTTTTTTCAGGCTGGTAGAAGGAAACAAGACTATTATTTTTTTTGGCCTTATGCAATAGTAAGGTGTCCGTCGTTCGTCCGTCTGTCTAGCTGTCTGTCTGTCCGTCCGTCTGTAAACAATTTTTCAAAAGGCTACTCCTCCTACAGTTTTGGTCTGATTTCAATATTACTTGGCACACAAGTAGGCTACACTAAGATACATAATCCTGTGTATCGGTTTTTGATTTCGATGAACAGTGTTTCCATGGTTACTAAAAATAGAAATTTCCTTGAAATACTTTCAAAATGCTACTCCTCCTATAGTTTTGATCTCATTTCAATATAACTTGGCACACAAGTAGACTACACAAAGGTACAAAGCTCTCTTAACCAGTTTTTGATTTCGATGAATGGTGTTGCCATGGTTACTAAAAATAGAAATTTTTTGAAATACTTTCAAAACGCTACTCCTCCTACATGTTTTGTCTGATTTCAGTATAACTTGGCATACAAGTAGACTACACTGAGATACATAATTGTCATTATTGCTTTTTGATTTTGTTGAATGATGTTGCCATGGTTACTTAAATCAAAATTTATATAAAATTATTTTAAAAGGCTACTCCTCCCACAGTTTTATTCTGATTGAAATAAATCTTGCCACAAAAACAGACTAAACCAAGGATCATTATTCTATTTATTGCTGTTGCAAAGTTTCAAATCCAAGTGCTACTTTTATCTTCCTTTATAAGTACAACCAGTAGAGCTACAGTCTCATCAGAGACTTCTGGTTTTCAGTATTTTTGTATTAAAGTCGTAAAGTATGGGGGAAAAAAGTTGATTATGACGTCATAATGGATCTAGCACCAAGAAGACAAGAGTCATTTATTAGATCTTGACTTTAAGTTTGACACTTTTTGCAATTATACGAGGGTTTATGAAAAAGTTCGTGGACTGATGCGATAAAATTAATACTATGTAGTCGTTGATTACAAAATTTATAGGGATCATAAATCAACAAAAGTTTAAGAAGTATTGAAAATTTCAGCTTGATATGTTTATAATTTGCCAAATTATCATTAAATAAAAAGGACATTATATGATCACCCGGCGCTGTCGTCATTTAGTTTCATGAAGTCCGACAACGTCATTATTCTCAGGGCCCGTACTCTCTGCCTCAATATACTTATCTTGATGAGATTCTCTAGAGTAAAGTTAAGACCTAAACCCGTCTTGTTTATATGACTTTACAATGTCATGAACACCTGATTTCAATGCATTAATATTGTAAATATGAAATCTATACAAAAGATAAGATCCTCGCTTGGTTTTGCCAGCATAATTTTCTTGGCGGAGTTCAATGTCAACCAATGATCAACATCACTTTTCGACGTGACTGACTTTGGACACCCTGACAACAAATAGACATTAACCGTGTGTCTCTTTTCTTGCTGAATTGTTTCTGGTATTTAAAAACAAGTACTCTGGATGTATTTTATTTCTCTGTAGCCTATTTAAACATTTACTAGGTCTATGCCAGGTTTTTGAGGGGTTGAAACTTTAAAGAATGTTTTAAAATGACACCCTACCCCCGTTCGACATCATTTTTAACCCTTTATTGTTTGGACACTGCATATAAAATTAACGATAAAATTACATAGAATATACAGAATGAGGCAAAAATTGCAACTTCTACGGAAAATATGTGTCATATCACATTAGTGACTTAATGGGATTATTGAATGACAAATGCTCATTTAAGAAGAGTTTTTCTCAGTTACACTCGGGTAGAAAATATGTCATGTTCGACGTTGCGCCGCCTGGACATACCATTGCTTACAAAAACATTTACGATTCACTCAAAAATAAAACTTATGATTCATAGTTTACTTTACAGATGGAAAAGAAGATACTTATTTAATGTTTAAAAATTCATTGATGCATCTCAAGCGGTTTTAATTTTATGACTCTAGTCCACGAACTTTTTGATAACCCCTCGTAGTCAGTAGTTTACATCCTAACAGCAACTTTTCTTCCTCTCATAGTTAAAAGATATTTAGATGTATCCATGATAATTTTATTGAGAATCAATTTCATAACCTCTAAATCATCAAGAATACCCATGTGTTTGTATTGGACATGTTCAAGTAGTAGGTTAAACTTTTCTCAAAAAGACTCATGACAATAAAATGGCTTCAAATTAAATTTGTACCAAGTCATTACAAACTCAAAGAGTGGTATATTTTTTCCTCCTCTCCCATTGGCCAAACCCAAATACAAAAATGCAAGAAAGTATTTAAGCAAGGTTATAACTTATTATGCCCTTAATTATAGAAATAAATACTTAACTGGACACTATTTTTATAAAATGGTGTAATATAATTATATAAACATGACAATCAAACAGAAATAAACAATATAGTTGTTAGCTGTAAGTCTATAGCTAAATTTGTTGTCGGAAATTGTCAAAATGTGTTTTCCAAATTACCATTTTAATGCCATTAAGAACTTGTAATATTCAGAGTGAAGATGATGTGTATGAAGCGGTTCGTGTGGCCATAAAAACAGGGTATCGTCATCTAGACTGTGCTGCCATCTACAGGAATGAGAGAGCCGTGGGTCAGGCCATTAAACAAACCATCATAGAAGACAAAGTCACGAGGGAGGACTTGTTCATCACAAGCAAGGTTTCTCTTGACTTCTACAAACCACCTCTGAGAAATCTCCTTTTTCTCCCCCCCCCCCCCCCCCATTCATTGATTTTAATGCACATTTCCAACTACAGTCAAACCTCATTATCTCAAACTCTGTTGGACTGAGAAAAAAATTTGAGATATCTGAGGATTCAAGATATCAAGGGTAAAATACTAAAGGAATATGTGGTTGAGATTTTCAAATAACTTTGACATATCCATGGTGTTTGAGATATCAGCGTTCCAGATACCGAAGTTCAACTGTATTATTTTTCCTTTTTTACTATTTTCATAATTTGCCACTTCAAAGCTAAATTGCAATGACTTTGTCATGGCATCAGAGAAAGTATATTATTTAGAAAAATTTGGACTGATGCATTGATATCAAGGTATGTATTCATATATATTAATTGTATGAAAATCTTTTCTGAATCTTTTACTTTATTTCAGCTGTGGAATTCCTGCCACAGACCAGATTTAGTAAGAACTAGTCTCAAAAAGAGCATGGAGGACCTAGGACTGCAGTATTTAGATCTGTACCTCATTCACTGGCCAATCGCTCTTAGGGTAAGATCTCATTCAATGGCCAATCACTCTAGGATAAGATCTCATTCACTGGCCAATCACTCTAAGGGTAAAATCTCATTCATTGGCCAATCACTCTAAAGGTAAGATCTCATTCATTGGCCAATCACTCTAAGGGTAAGATCTCATTCATTGGCCAATCACTCTAAGGGTAAGATCTCATTCACTGGCCAATTGCTCTAAGGGTAAGATCTCGTTCACTGGCCAATTGCTCTAAGGGTAAGATCTCATTCATTGGCCAATCACTCTAAGGGTAAGATCTCGTTCATTGGCAAAAACATTTAAAAATAAATGATAATAAAATCATCCCCCAAATAAATAAAAATTTATTCTAATTTTATCACATAAAAAATTAACTGGAATCAAAAAATAACAAAATACAAGATGTTTTGATAATTTATAATACCATTTTCTCCAGATTTTGGGTATATTAATAAGACATTGAAAAGTTATTTTTAAATCCTAGAAAACTACAAATTTGGTTACATTATACAAATACCACATCAGACCAGATATGAATTTAGTAGGTGTAAATGTATAATATACATATTAAATCCTTTATTCCCGTCTAGGAAGGAGGTGAATTTATTCCGAAGGATGAAAAAGGAAATGTTTTATTCTCTGATGTTGACTATGTAGACACTTGGAAGGTAAATACTAGAGAATTAATGGAAATATTAATAAATTCTAACAGTGATAAGTTTTAGAAAAAAAAGAAAAGAAAGTATCTTTGTATTTTATTGTGTTGCAAAATTAAGCTTTCTAGTAAAGATAAAAAACTTAATAGATAACAGAGATATTTCTGTCGTAGGCAATGGAAGACTGTGTAGATGAAGGACTCGTAAAGTACATTGGATTGTCCAACTTTAACAGTGAACAAATTCAAAGAATTCTGGATGTAGCAAGAATTAAACCTGTCATGAATCAGGTGTGATTTGCTCAATAGTTGTTTTTTCACTTAGATATGAACATCATGAACATATGAACATTTATAGAAAAAACTAAAATGAAGTAATTTGAGCTACATTTGTAAGCTATGATATAAAAGGAATTTAGATGATTTGAGCTACATTTGTAAGCTATGATATAAAAGGAATTTAGATGATGAAAAGAAATTTGTATTTACGACGTGTATGGTTTAATAAGTGTACATGTATTAAGTGATGAAGTTTAACTTTTAAAACCTTTTTTAAACACATTTTCAATAAAAAAAATTAATTGAAATTCTAATATGTAATTATATACATGACATTTAGACATATTGTATGTAGGATAAAAATACTGCTCATTTAACAAGAAAGAGTATTATATATGCAAATACATATTATTTTTCCATAGGTTGAATGTCATATATACCTTAGTCAAGAAAAGCTGATAGAATTCTGCAAAGCACGAGGCATTACAGTAACAGCATATTCTCCATTTGCTAGTCCTGGACACAAATCGTAAGTCTGACTATGAATGTCATTATTTTTTTTTTAGCTTTTTTTAGCCAAGACTCAAAGAGCTAATGCCATTTGTGGTAAGTGCATGAACTATTTTGAAATGTGGGCTTTATCTCAAGAACACCTTAGCCAATTTTTGTCAGATTTGTTACAGAGTATCCTTGGCCCAAGGGTTTTCATTTTTGCTAAAAATAGAGATTTGACCCTTAAATAAGGCGAGATAATTAGGGAAATAAAAACTAAAGTAGTGGTTGCTAAAAAAATTCTTCTCAAAAACCACTGGAAAGGTCATCACTAAACTTACACTTGAGGATGAGGATACATTGTGCATTAAAAATTGTTCAAGGCATCACCCTAGGGCAAAGGGGTGTCCAGTCACTTCGTACACAAACCGAGTCGTACACAAACCAAATCGTATACAAAAAGTCAACTCGTACACAAAAACCAGAAGTCAACTCGTACACAACATTTATATACAATCGTTATGATTTAATTTTATACAAATAATGTTTGATAACACGAAGTGTTACTTTTCTTTAAGTTTTTTAAGTTTTTTTCCCTAAATATTTAAATAATTCAACTTCCCTGATAGGATAGGAACATAAAGACATCAAAGAAGTATTGTTAAACCAACACCCGCGCGGTGGTTTCTTGGATCTGCGACAAACGCTAATTTCGAGATGCTCATAATTCGGTATCCTTTAATTATGAGATACTATATGTATCGAAAACGTCTCCAAGTTTCTTCATTCCTTATACTTCACCATGGTTCGAGAGACGGCACAAGAGAATAACAATGGGAAAATTATGTTATATGAAGGAACCAAAATGACCATAATATTGAATAAAAAAGTATAATAAATAAGTAGTACTATAGAGAGATAGAGAGTATATATAATGACATCATGTGTCAATATTCATATAACAAAATTATGTACGACATACATTCCGGAAAATCTTGTCAACAAATCAATCTGCGCATCGCATCGCGCATATGGTATATGGAAATTCAGAGGCATAAACTAGTTAAAAATGTACAGAAAACACATTTGTGTACGAGTTGACTTCTCAATTTTTTTGGAAACTATGGCAAATATTACCTTAAATCACATAGGAAAACGTTTGTATGAGTTGTGTACGAGTTGACTTCTGGTTTGTATACGAGTTGACTTTTTTTTGTGTACGAGTTGACTTTTTGTATACGAGTTGGTTTGTGTACGACTCGGTTTGTGTATGAAGTGACTGTAAATCGGCAAAGGGCATGGTCTCAAGGTCACTTCAAAGTTGACCTAAAATGACATTTTGTTATAACTGTGATATTTTGCCGACTATTAGGACAAGAATCATCAAATCTTGTCAATTGATGCATCTTAGATTGATCCAAAAGTAGGTCATGGTGATCTACTTTTTAAATTTTGCAGCTATTCATTTTCAGATTGTTTTAGATGCATATCTTGGGCAAGCTGAAGCGTATGATCAGGGCTCTCGATTATCTATTTGATTGGGAATGGGGCCATTCAAGGGCCCCATTCCCAATCAAAAAGGTACTTTTTTTCCCGTTTGGATGTGTTAATTTTCCCAATAGTCATTTCTCCCAAAAATTAATGAAAATATAGTTTGATATGTCATAACTTAACTTGCTATTCATATTCCTCTGTACTGCAAAACAAAAATTTAGTTGATAACAAAGACCAGAAATCCAGTATTTCATGATTTTAAAGCATAATGGTTATCCCAAAATTTCCCAAAAGGTCACAATTTTCCCAATCTTTACGGCCCCGGCCCCATTCCCAAAAAGTGGTGCGAGAGTCCTGATGATCATCAGTCCTTGTAAGTAGCTGCATTTAAAGGCCTCGTAATATATCAGTCTAAAAGTATGTCACCATGACCTACTTTGGGGATTTCTTCGCTTTTTTCCCCAATACAGTCAAACCTCATTATCTCGAACTCAGTGGGACCAAGAAAAAACTGAGAGTATCTTAGGATTCGAGATATCCAGGGTAAAATACTTAAAGAATCAGGGGATAAGACTTCCAAATCACTTCGACATATCCATGGTATTCAAGATATCAGTGTTCGAGACAACGAAGTTTGACTGTATTTCATTTTTAAGAGGTTTAGAATCATCAAACTATCTTGGTCATCAAAGAAAGTCAACCAAAGAATAGGTCACCATGCCCTACTTTTGGAATTTCACAGCTATATCTAAAAATTTTGGATAATAAGAGGTTTAGAATCATCAAACTTTGTCAGTTGATGCATCTTGGGTTCTCAAAGTGTGTCAAAAAAGTAGTCAGTATGCCTACTTTTGGAATTTTATAGCTATATCTAAATATTTCAGATAATAAGAGGCTTAGAATCATCAAACTTCATCAGTTCTCATTGGGTTCTCAAAGAGTGTTAACTAAAAAGTAGATCATGGTGACCTACTTTAGGAATTTCAAGGCTACATGTATATTTAAATATTTCAGAAAATCAGAAGCTTAGAACCATAAATCTTTTTCAGTTTATGCATCTTGGGTCCTCAGAATGTGTCATCCAAAAAGTAGGTCATGATGTCCTATTTTGGGGAATTTTTCATTTCTATCTCAATTTCTAGGGTAGGAAGAGGCTTAGAACCATCAAAATGGGGCCTTTAAATTGTGTCAGAATCATCAAACATTGTCAGTTGATGTATCTTTGGCTCTTATGTGTTGTCAACTAAAAAAGAAAGGTCACAGTAACATACTTCCTGAATTTTACAGCTTATCACTATAAAATATTGTAACCAAAATAATTTGAACAAACCTGAATAGTTGATGTTTTTTGTATTCCAGGATATTTCAATTCAAAAGTAAGTCACAGTGACGTACTTTTTTGATTTCATTGTCAAATCTTACTAGCCTGGGTAGATAGAGGCATAGGATCATCAGACCTAGTCAGCTGATTTGTCTTGGGACCTTAAGATATGTTGACCTAAAAAAGATCAAGCCATTTTAGGCCCTTGGGCCTCAGAGGTGTTTGTTTAAAGTGGTTAGTTTGCTACGGATGTCCACCTTAGTTACTATGTACTTACTGGCAAAGTTGTCCGTAAGAAATATCCAGGACTTCTTTTTTCTGACCCTAAGAGTCCTCCTACTTTTCATTGATTTTTATCTCTACTGCTTGTGCAGCAATGACAAGGTTTCTGTCTTCCATCCATCTGTCTGTTTTGATCTGATTTCAATTAAACTTGCTAAACAAGGAAGACCAACTAAGATACATCATTTTATATTTTGGGTTTTTAATGTCAATTAATGGTGTTGCCATGGTTACTAAAAATAGAAATTTCTTTAAAATTCTTTCAATTTGCTTATATTAATCCTCCAACATTTTAAGCCACAAATTTCAATAAGACTACACTAAGATTCATAATTTAATATTAGTGGTTTAATTAAGATTTTAAAAAATGATGTTGGCATGAATATACTAAAAAAAATTGTTAATGTTTTCAAAAGTCTACTTTTCCTACATTTTTAGTATGTGTTCAAAGAAACCTTGCTATACAAATAGACTGCATTTTGATATACAATTCAGTATATCACTTTTGATTAGAATGAATGATGGTTCCATGGTTACTTAAAAGAGAAATTTCTGTGAAGGTCTTTCAAAAGAATATTTTTCCTATAGTATTATTAAACCCTATTCCAATAATTTTTTTCCACACAAAGAACCTTAATATCCAGGGATCATTGTCTCAATAGTTTTAAACACAATGCATCTATCAGTGTCACTTGGTTAGTTTTTGTTAACCAATTTGTTCTTTACTTATTCTCTTCAGTATTCCTTACACCCCATGTCTGCAGGAACCGGTCATTGTTGATATTGCTAAAAGCAAGCAAAAGACTCCTTCTCAGGTAATTCCAGATTTATAAACTTTTGAAATGGATAAATATAGATCACAGTAGATGTACTTGATGATTGAGGGAAATTCACTCTATTTTTAGCCACTTGTTTTCTATTTCAGATCATTTTAAGGTTTCTTCTTCAGAGAGGACTAGTGGTGATTCCGAAATCAGTCAGTCCTGGTAGAATTGTTGAAAATTTTCAGGTAGTTGGGCAAATTTTTTTTATATTATTAATCTACTTCCAGTGAAACGGGAGGGGACTATAGATTTCTTATCCATCTGTCTGTCAGTCAGTCAGTCCCACTTACTTTTCAATTTTATTTGATTTAATTGTGTGTAAGATTTAGAAAAATCAAATATTCTTAAATACAAGCTAAAGTCTCAAAAACAAAACATATGTACATACATGTATATGTTTTTCACTAGCTTCATGTATGTGTATTTTGAAATCATTACAAAGTAGTGAAAGACTATGAATTTCAGTAGGAATTGTAACGTAAATGTGTACATGTAATCATTTTGTAACAAAAAGAGTCAGGGGCATAACTATTATCAAGTTAATTTTTTTCAGTAACTGCTTTCAGTTATTCTTTTTTTTTTTATCTTACTAATTTTTGAAAATCATTCCATGAATACAAATTAAACTATACTTGAAGGCATATATGTGTTCTTAAAATACTGATCCTATATCAAAGTTTATTACTTTGAAGTTGTTACCTGAGCTGTAGGTTAGCCTGGACCCTGTTAATTATGGACTTAAATATAAGGCCCCACAACTGTAAATTTGATATTTTGTTTATGATTGATGTTAAACTTTATCTGAATTTAATATACTTTTGAAATTGCTTCTTATGTTAGTGTCATAAGTCTTTGAATTTGCAATGGTTGTGAAGTTTAAAAAATCTTGAATAAATAAATTTTTAAGTTGATCTCATCTTTCAGACATGAGTACTTTATGAATTCCTTCAAAGTTTTATTTCTCTTAAGATTGTTAGTTATAATTATTGGACATTGCAATGAAAAAATATTTTATATTTCAGGTGTTTGATTTTGAATTGACAGATGAAGAAATGAAAAAGATTCTTGCTTTGAATAAAAATCATAGAATTAATACTGAGGATATGTAAGTATAACCACTTCTATTTTAGTAATCTTGTATGTTTACAAAGTGTTCATTTATTTGCTAGGTTAACACACATGAGAGACAATGTATTTCAATCTACTTAATCATTGTCTTTCATAGATGTAAACTTTTTTTAATGCATTTTCTTTTTTGATTATCTGATCCTTGGATAATTCAGTAAGAAATAGCCAAAAACACATATGAACATATGAAACTAACAAGAAAAAAAAAAAAACCCAACTGCACCTTTATTTTACAGAGCATTGACACACAAGTACTATCCATTCAACATTGAATTCTGAATAAGCAGCCAAATTATCAGGATTATTGCTCTCTACAGACTATGCAAATTTAACATTTGTATTTTTGTGTTTCCTTTATGATTTTATTCATGGAGAATCAGTATATAGTAAACATGGGTACAGCGAACATGCTAATAATGAATTTATGCTTACAGCAACATGATTTTTTTTATTCCCTGTAGTTTTAAATTGCATGATAAACTAATGGGATATAAAGAACTACATTTATGATGAATCAAAATTGTTTGTCTCTGGCACTTCGCTCTAAGCATGATTCCCTTTATGACATTATCACATAACCAATGAAATCTCTAGTATTTTCTAATAATCAATCAGCATTATAAATGTGATTTAAAATGTTATTTTATTTTTTCATATTCATTGAAGATTGTGTTTGGGAATATAAAACTTGTTACTGAATTGAAAATTTCATTGTTTTATTTTAATTTCAAATTGGAGAATGTTGCATGATTTTTTTTTTTAATTAGAAAAATAGACTACATGCTTTTAAAGTTTCATGTCATTTCAGTTCTCTGTTCAATGTTTTAAATTTTTTTGTGCCATATTTAAAATTGTTTTTATTTCCCTACCTAGTTTAAAATTAGAATGGTATTTGGAAATGAATTGGAGCTCTTCTAATAAGTTCCAAAATTGTACAATTTATTTTATTTTTAAAATAATTCTGAAATTCGCTTGTTTAAAACTTGCTGTTGTTATCAAGAATGTTGATAGATGTACAAAATAATTACATTGGTTGTTTGAATAAAAAAAAAAGTGTGCCAGTAAACATTTAAGATTGCAGGTGTCTGTAAGATTTTTTATTTGTATGTGACAGTTTTTATGTTGATCCATATTGACAAAATATTGCATGCAATAACTTTTTACTACTAATTATTTAATCATATTTTGGGAATATTATACAAATATGTAGATACTCATACATCCAAACAATGCAGGACTAATTTTGGTAGAACTATAAAAAAAAATTTCTAAAAAAAATGTTGAGCATATTTTTGTGTGTTTAATAATGAAATTTGAACTTAAAAAGAATATTCTGTGTCTGATTTTACTTGTTAAAAATAATATATGTTAATTCTTGCTGTTATTCATGGTGACTTTTTAAAAAAAAAGTCTTTGGTGCTTGTACATGTATACAGTTACGAAATATCATTTAATGAATCAAACTGAATAAAATATCAAATGATTACATTCACTAGTTTAGTGGACTCTTGGATTGAATCTGTTCATAATGAAATTAAGCCACTGCAGGATTCAGGGTAAAATATATTAGAGAAGTGGAAATGTCATACGTGTATCACTATGTGTACGGGTACGTCTAGAAGGGTAATCTCAACAGACAAATTACAAAAACGTGTACGTGTATGTCAAAGTGTATGTACACGTACAGGTACGCGTACAAGTTTAAGATCTCAACCTCTCTATTATCTTGGCCTTTAGTGTTCATTAGACAGGGTACAGTGCTAAACAATTTTTTTTGTGGAGACTAGATAGTGATTCATGCAGCTAAATTTGTCAAAGTATATCAGAGTTTATTGCAAATCTAATTCAGGTGACACCTTTGAAACGCTTAATTGAAATGCATGTAGATATGATGTTGAAAAATTATCCCTGGTCATTATTCTAGACTACGTAGAAAAATGGGCCTGGTCTGTAGAAATATGTCGCCACCCTTAAAATCTGCATATCCTACATAGATAAAAATAGACCCCCTTGGAATAATGATTCCCTTTCGATTCTACATGTATTAACGATGTATTCTTTGATATTGACTAAAGGGAGATAACTATAAATGTTCTAATTTGAACATGTATGGTCGTGTAAATCTACTGTTAATACTGATGATACTGTTAATATAATAAATATCACTTTTAATAAGACTTAAAATAAATAAAGATATGTAAATTATAAACTAAGAGGTCCATGGACCAAAATGCTCACGAGCTTAATGGACCATATAGATATGGGATGTATGCTTAATAGAATTTTTCTGTTGACGCATCCTACGTATTGTATACCCTTAATTCATGTAATACTACATGTATTTCTAGTTACAATACTAGAAATTAAATTATTCTTTTCTTAAAATGTACATGTAGGTATGAACTTTGTAAGTAGCCACTAATTCTTCTATCTCAATATGACTAAAAACAAAAACAATCTAAACCTACAACACCCCCATGCTTATCTACAAGTCTGTGAAGCTCCAAATTAACTAATAACTAATACAAGTTAAATTGATGCAAAGCATCAAACCAGCCGAAAAAATATATTTAGTATTTCAAAGTATTTCTACAAGAAAGAGCTCAGTCGGTAGAGTGCTCGCTCCGTGGTCGGAATTCGAAGGTCGTGTGTTCGAATTACGGCCGCGACTGACCTAAGTTGATAAAAAAAAAAAGGTAGCAACTGTCCCTTCGCCAAGCGCTCGGCACTTTGAAGAGAAAGTTGCGAATCTTTCGGATGAGACCTGAAAAACCGAGGTTTGTGTCACGGTACCCTCACTGTTCAATGGCTTGAGTGCCGAGTATAGGTCTAAATTTGAAGCCCTTCACAGGCATATGGTGATGTCACTTTAAAAGTGAAAAATTCTCGAGCGGGACGTAAAACAACATACAATCAATCAATCTGTTTGCCTATGATAATTAATCACTGTAAATAATGTAATTAAAAGAATAAGAATAAGAGAGTTATACAATAATTTTTATATAATTTTTATAATATTTAATGTTGTGGAAGTGAAATTGGGGCAAACACAAGCAAATAATTAGATGTACTTTAAGGTCTCTTACGGAGTTCACTTCTAGACTGATTTCTTTTGTTGATCCCTGATCATCCTATTTCTCTTGCTTTTGAGCATTTAAGCTTAATCCTTCAGTTTAATTTGTTTTGATTTTTACTGTCATGGATCCTCTACAGTGTTGAATGATACTCTGGCCATTGTTAAAGCCCTTGGACGTCTTGTTTAGAACGTTGGGTGTAATTTCAGTCATAAGATTTTTGTTCAAATGTTATTGAATTGAGGGTCCCGGATTTTTTGCAACAACCAATGATAAAGAAATTATGTGTTAATGTAACTTTCAAAATATTGAATAGAAACGAATATCTTCAATTTTCTCAATACATAATTATATTATTTCTAGTTATTTAAATGGCCTAAAATCAGTCGGATATTGTTTTAAAACATTTTTTTTTTCTAAATTAAGTCAATAAAATTTCCTCTTTTTTTGACATGGTTTTTAACCATTCAATTCACTAAATGTTAGGGGACAAAAGGATAGCAGTAGACCAAAAGAAAACTCATATCAGCGAACTGTACCAATGCCGAGTTTTTCACGCAAAATTGAATTTAGCAAAACGGTGCATTGTTAATAATTTGTAATCTCTATCTTTATAATTCTAAGGACAATTTAAATGTACGTATATGATTGAAAAATAAGACAAGTCAATTAATGACAAACATTCGTATATTTCCATAAATACACAACTAATGAAGATTTCCGAAATTGAAACGGTCACATGATATGCAATATCATGGTGGATACGAATATTTAACCGATGACCGACTTAAAACTATTTTGTAACATGAAAGTATAATAGAAACACATTGCCAGATTCGTATTTTTACAATTTCCTAATATCCATATTTTGTGGTCTTCCCTACAATTTTACTTTATTCAGTGCGAGGAGATGAACAAGACAAACAATCGGATCATTAATTCTTCAAGTAACAAACTGACAATATTCATGAAAGGAATACTCAATGAGCACCAGAAAAAAGTAGGTTGGGGCTCAATGTTATGATGCAGAGGTTAGCGATAATAGAACAAACTAGTTATAATTGTAACGGGGACCGTTACAGATGTTCCCCAAACGCTCCCCAACTCCCTTTTGGTGACTTTTTTCCTGTAAGCTTCATTAAATAAGGCAATGAAGTATATTGGTCATTTTTTGCATTTCACGCGCGCGCACGTGCATGCATGTGCAGGATGACCATGTCATCCCGTCTATACTATATATGCATTTTATATTCTCAGTATCAAAACATTTCATCAAAAAATATATAAGTTCCAGCTAAATCAAGCATATTGGTCATCTTAGCATTGCGCGCACGCGCACATGCATGCATGTTCATAATGACCATGCCATTTTGTGTATACTTATAATATGTCTGTTAATTCATAGTATCAAAGCTTTTCATAAAAAAATATAAAAGTCACAGCTATATTAAGTATATTGGTCATTTAACACATTGCACGCGCGCGCATGTGCATGCATGTGCATGATGGCCAAATCATCTTGTCTACACTTTTAATATATCTATATATTCTTAATATCAAAGCTTTTCATCAAAAAAAATTACGGCTATATTAATTATATTAGTCATTTAACACATTGCACGCGCGCGCACGTGCATGCATATGCATGCATGTGCATGATGACCATGTCATCTTGTCTACTCTTTCTATATATATAAATATTTTGAGTATCAAAGCATTTCATCAAAAAGTATAAAAGTTACGATATTATCAAGTAAATTGGTCATTTTACGCTTTGCGCGCACGCGCATGCATGTGCATGTTGACCATGTCATCTTGTTCATACTTTTAATATATCCTTATATTCTGAGTATCAAAGCATTTCACCAAAAAATATAAAAATTACAGCTATATCAAGTATATTGGTCATTTTACCCATTGCACGCGCACACACGTGCATGCACGTGCGCGCAAAATGACCTTTGTTCCGCAAATCTACATAACATGCCTATTAACCCTAAAAAGGTTTTTACTCAATTGGATGAGCAGTTTCCGAGAACACTCGCGGACAAAAAAGTACCGGAGAAGAAATAAGAAGAAACTAGAAACTCATTACTAGTAATGAGGAGGTCTTCCGTTATACTACTTCCTGTTTGCATGAACATGTCTTTTCCAACGTCGGTATTAGCCTAAAACTTATGTAAAAACAAAATAACTTTAAAAAATACTTTTTTGCTTCGTTTCCTGTCACGACCGGAAGTAATGACGACACACGATTTTTACACGAAGCAAATGAACTGATGACTGACTATAAGTCCTGAAAGTTTTAGACTTCAGTCTTTTACTGTTGCCGAACAATTGTGAGAAAAATTTCTAATTCTGAGGACAGGAAAACACACGACCGGAAGTGAACTAAATAAAAATCTCTGAATTTTCTCTTGACTTTTGCATTAACTACAGCATATGTAAAAAACATTTCAAATACTATGCGTATCTATAAGTAATATTTATGAGAAAGTTAAACCACGAAATAACGTAGTTTATCTCTTAAAACCGGAAGTTTTAAGTTTTTTTTTCCGGTGGAATCTAACATATTTCAAAACAGCGAAAGGGAAGCAAGAAAGTGATGAAAGTTTTAATTTTAAAAAGAAAAGTTGAAATTTTCGATTTCTTCGATCACTTCCTGTGATGACCGGAAGTGACGGCTGGCGCTTTTAACCCCATGTGTTTTGCTTTCTCACCAAGTTTTATTACTCCTATAAGTTTGGTGTCTTACTTTCATGCCGTTTCCGA